AGTGAGGCAATCTCCGAACTTCAGCTCCAGGCTTTGAGGCCATATGGATCCAGAATATTTGGAATCAATTGAATTTAAGTGCCAGTTTTGCAGCCATAACGGCGCGGAAGGAGAGGATAAAGCAAGAGCACTAAAGAAATCCGAAATCCGTTAATGTTATCGCGGCCAATAAAACGCCGGCTTGGATTCTTTTAAAAACGGTTGTTTTGCTGAAATCCGCAAAGTAACACATAGGCAGCTCTAGGAATAAAAGAAGTTTAACTGTGTGGTGGTTGGGAAAAGCGAGGCAGGTTTTTGTCTTCAGCGTTACAGCTCAGTAATTCAGATGGGATTCCTGGGAAGGAAGGGGCTGTGGGTTGCCTGCGTGATGTCTTCTTGCTTCCCGAAATCGCATTTTTGGAATTGATTAAAATCCTTTCTTTAGAGACACGAGGCAGTGAAGCAAATTTAGAGAGCTTGAAATGGAGAAAAACAAATTAATTAGGGAGATATTATTAATCTGAGGGCATCTGGATCGTTTGTGCATTTGCAGATTCAAATACAGAAAAGATGCATTCAGATATTGCTGATTGTGTATGAGCATTAACATCCCAATGTCCTACCTTACAAATGCTGCATTTGAAATAAATGGGGTTTTTCTTTTTAAAGAGAGATTGTTGACAATTGCAGGGCTTTTTCACTCTGAAGGAAGATGTGGGGAACCTTAGAAAATGCAAAGTGCAACCTCTCAAAACCCCACGCTTTTATGCCTAAAACAGCAATGCACGTGGAGTATTTTGTGTTTATTAATACAGCAAACTATTTAATAAAATCATCCTAATCTCAAGTTAACACGCTGTGCATAAACATGCAGATTTACCTGACAAGCTCCTAGAGCTTTCAGGATCCTCTTTCTGTCAGATTTTTGGGAGCAGAGGCTGGAGCTCTTTTTCTGTTTGATTTCCCTGCATACATTGGGTTTTTGAGACATCTCTGAAAAGGGATCTCGCAGCGCCGGTTGAGGGAAACAGAAAGGATCTCTCTCTCAAAACAGTCCTGGGTTATTTCTTTTCTCCCGGTCTGTTAGCAGATGTTGAAGTAGTTCAGGGCACAATGTGAACATGTGCTTTTCAATGGAGGGATGGTAAATAGCGTGGGATACAATGAAATGGGAGGGGGTTTTGGACCAGGCCAGTGGGTTGGGGTTTTTTTTTGTCTGTCTGTGTGTTTGTACGTAGTTGAATTTTGAATTAAAAGAAGTGCTTGATCTTTATATATTGAAATCCTCAGCGTGCAGAGCGACAGCGTGAGCCAGAAGAGAAAACCATGGCCCCATGTGGCGCGAAAAAAAGGAACAGCAGTTTAAGTGCTGGGAAGTTGAAAGAGAAGTAACCTCCTTGTTCCCGTCCTCGAGGAAAGGGGCTGTTTTGTGCCGTCGTAGCGAAGCGTAGCATATGTGCCTCAGCTTGACAAAAAGCCTCTCGAGTCAGAGCGACCCCGGGCCTGTGCGCTGATCCAAAGCAAAGGCCGCGGTAATGAGGGCCGGGCTCTCGGGAAGCGGCGAGGAGATAATACGGCGTAAGTGGCGAATTCCGGGCGCCGCGTTCGCCGCTCGCCTTAATGCGAGGCGCAGCCCCGGTGAAGCGCTTGCCATGCAGCTGAAATGGGCCATTAGCTATCAGGGAAAATTGTCTTTGCTACTTTCAGCAGATGGAGCAAATATTTTACAAAGCAATTTTACATAGGAAAAACATTTGTGTTACTTGGTAATGACGGCTGTTTTACATGATGCCGCCTTCTATCAGAGCGTACTTTTCCGGCTCGTGGAAGGCGCAATTGGCACTTTTTTTTAATTTTAAAATTTGCGGTTAACAATTAAACGCCTGGGCTTTCAATCAGCTTGCAAACTTTTGAGTAGATAGGGGTGTTCAGTGCATCACCTCCACAAACCATTGCCGTTTGCATAAACCTCGCAGATCGTTTTGTTCGGTGCAGCAGATTGTGGTTGTGGCCAGCACGTACCTGAACTGGAAAAAAAAAAACCCATCAAATCGGGTTAATTTGTGAAACTGGAAATATTGGAAGTTATTTGGACGGTCAGACAGCAGCCGCTGGCCTCTTCCAGTGTAACCACGTTTGCTGGTGTCGCTGGGAATACAGGAATGAGCTGGGCTGGACCAATTCACACCGAGGCAGCTGGAGTGAGTTAGCACAGCTGTGCTGATCGCAGCGTAGGGGATGCGCTGTGTGAACGGTGTGAATTGTGGTGGTGCCATTGGAGTGGCAGAAATTGCCATAGCTTCACTGACTGCAGGGAGCTGGGGCAGTTTGTATCGCTGAGGATCTCTCTGCTGAGTTTATCCTTCTCTGGCCCAGTCAGCTTTACTTATTTGGAGTCACTTTCTCCATTCTGTTTGCTCGCAAGGTCTAAATAATTTCCTTTCCATCTGATTTTTAGCTAAAAAGCCCTAGGTCTTTCTCACGCGTTCTGCTCTGCAGCCTTTTTCTGTCCCCAGGTCTTTCTTCCCATTTCAGAGTCTGTTTCTTCTTTCTGTTTATTTCCTGATCTCAACAGACTTTTCCTTGCTGGCTGACCTGTCTCCAGTAGATTTCCTACCAGTGCCTTCAACGTATGCCACATGTGGTCCTCATTTTTTTGTTGCAAATGCTGTTCTAAGAAAGCCTTTCAAAATTCAGCTTGCTGAAGGGTGAGAAATTGTTTCATATTTAGAGGGGAAAAGGTGCAATTTCTTTTCATGCTTATTCATCATTATAAAAAGGTGCAAAGCAGATTTGGGTAGATTTAAAGATTCCTACATGACATAAACAGTATTTGGGCTGCTGCTGCTTTTAGTGGCACTGAGAAACTGTAAGATCTGAACAAATGCTCCCTGTTTCAGTTGAGCCTGCGATTCTGAATTGGTTTGGGCCGCATCAAGAGATAAAACATTGGTAAGCTCTGCTGGAGATACCGTCCAATTTAAATGAAATTAGCCTACGGAGCACTGATCCTTTTAAAAGGTTTGACTTCATGAGTGAATGTTGGATCTGGGCTTGAATTCGCCTACTAAAACTCCCTATAATCAGGATTATTGCTTTAGAGCTTGCAGTTGCAAAAAACCTGCCACTAGAAACCAGGTGCTGATCCAGTTGCCCGGCTCCCTTCTGTGAGCACCTTGGTTATCTTGTTCAAGCACTCATATGCTGGGTTTGAGCTCCCAAGATCATCTTTCAGATTGGATTTAGTCAGCTATTTCTTTACAAGCCCATCTTCTTCCTGCAAGGCGACTGCTTTTGTTGCTCACATCCTTCACAGCCAGCGAGTACCAAGGGTGCTCTGAACCTTGAGATGCTCCTGAGCTGGGCACTGTGCTTCCGTGTTGCCCTGACAGATGCTGTGAGTTCATCCTGCATCCAATTCCCCTTCAAATGCTATTTCACCTTATTTCAGCCAGCAAATCTGGGTCTGTTGAGGAAGTACCACGAGACTCTTGCCTGTGATGTCCATCCTATGGACAGAGCAGTAGCAGATGATGTTACTCTATGTATAGATGAGGTGAACAGAGTCTCTGTGTCTTACCAACAGCCTCTGCTTGTGAGCCAGGTGAGTGTGCTCTTAGGTACACAACAAAGTTTGCAAGTTCTGCTTGAACTTTGTACTCACAGCCTAATTTTCACTTGTACCAGCTTGGTCACAGCACTCTCAAATGCTTCTACACTTCCAGCAGGGATTATTCGTGGGATTTTTTTCCCAGTAGTTTATCAAAAGCTTCCAGGCAACCATTGCCTCAATAATTTTCGAGGCATTTTTTCTCTCAATTCCATGTGAGGCAGGGACAGCAATTGTCCCCCTTTCATGGCTGGACAGCTGAGGCACAGATGGAGATTCACTTTTTCCCACAGTCCGCATTCAGAAACCAGACATATCTATGTCTCCTATACCCAAAGCTGATAACCTAATCATTGGCCCATCCTCCTCCTCATTCTGGTAGATAAATCACAGTAAGCTGATTTTGGATTTGTATTTTTGGTTACATGGCATCATGCGCTTCGTGACAAAGCCCATCTCTTCAAACTCACTGGTCTGGAAAAATGGGTTTATTTTTCCCTCCTCTTAGATGTCAGCCATAAGGTTTGCTCGCGTTCCTCCAGAGCTCACGATGGTGGCTTAGGACACTGCCAGGATCAGAGGACGGTTGGTCATCTTCTGAGGCACGGGATGCTGAACAGAGAGGATGTAAAGCAGAAGCAAAGAGACCCAGGGGACGCAGGCGAACGCTTCTGAAGCAGCAAGAAAGGAGCCTGAAGCAATAGAGTCAGGGTCCTTGCACTTTATATGCCTCTGTACTTCTGGGACGGTTTTGAACAGTAAAAGCAATGCAGTTGCTGTATTTAATGGGGCTGTTTTGTGTGTGTGCTAATATAGTAAAGAATTTGGAACTAGGAAAAAGCTGGTAGTAGCATGGCTGATCACATTCTAGCAAAACTAGAGGTACAAATACCTTGTGAATTTAGTTACAGACTGGAACGTGCAAAAGGGTGTCTCCCATTTAGAAACACTTCTGGTGGGTTTATTCCTCTTTTTTTTTAATAACTAAAAGGTGTTTGGGTTGATGTAACAGCTTAAACATAGAGTCAGTAAAACGATTTCTGGCATATGTGACTATTTCAATACGCTCAGTTTCAAAATATAAACAATGTGGAAGTTATTGACTGCTGCTATTGATCCCAAGCAGTTACCAAGTGCTTAGCATTTTCACTTGCCAGATCAAATTATTGATATAAATGATAATGAAATAGATGCCACGTGAAGGGGGGGTTTCTTTCGGAGAAGGACAGTTTGCAATAGGAGGGAAGAATAGGAAGCAGAAAAATTAAAAAAGGCTTCCTGACTGTGGGTAAACAGTAACCACATTGGGTTTTTTTTTTGCCTGTTGGAGGCCTGGTTTTTAATCACCCCACAAGCAGTTTTCATTTCTGTAGTAAAATTGCTTGTGGTTCTATTTAATTTGTTTCTGCAGGAGCCAGCTTTGGTGAAGATCTCCCAGGAGCTGCCGGGCCTTTTAGCACAGCACGTACAGCCAGTCAATGAGAAACGATTCCCTACATGGGAAAAATTCCTCCAAACATTTCTTAGTCAAGGTAAATAAGACTGCAAAGTCGCAGTTAAGTGTTATAAGGAGTAATTATACCATATTGTATGCCATATTCTTGTTAATCTTGGGCCCATTTAAATATTTATCTCCTTTTATTTCTCCATTATGCTTCAAATGTTCATTTACGAATGAATTATAGGCAACTGCTCTATCATTCATATGTCCCATGCAAGCGTTTAACCTATATTAATCCTGGATTACCTTTCTCACACGATTCTGAATCAATAAGCACCAACGCCTTAATCCTGCGTTACTGTACTGGAGGCCGTCACATTTGGCAGAAGGGCTTTAGGCAATGCTGACATACGAGTGTGCACGTAGGTAAATGTGGGAATATTTCATCTGTGCTAGGTGTTGGCAAGCACACAGACCCACACCATTGCTGGGCTCTTTCCTGCCCTAAAACCAAAGGAATATGAACAAGTTCCAATCTGATCTGGATGGGTTTGGTGCTGAGTCCTCAGTGGGGTTTCGTGCATTAAAGCCCCTCATGGCTCAAAGCTCAGCAGTGCCCAACTGGGCTGGAGCTCAGGAGTGAACCCGTGTTTGTCTGTAAGAGGCGGTGCAGATAAAACCCCTCTGGAATCGCTGCACATCGGTGTATCTGTGTTAACATCCCTTATTTGTATGCCAGATTTTAGATGGAAAAGGACTTTGTGGTTGGGCAGTAAATTTCCGTGGTGATTCTGCCCTTCCATAATTTGGTATTATACATAGTGGATGTATATTTTTCATACATTTCTTTATTTGTGGAAGATACAAGGATGATTCAAAGCTTTGAAAGGATTTTTTTTGAAAAGTAATGCCAGTCACATATATAGTACCAATTTTTATTACGTATTGGTTTATCCTGATGAAATGAGTTATGGTGTTACATGCAGTAAAAGGTAAACCCAGAATGTAAACCAGTTTTCTTTGTGATTTTCCTACAGACAACCTTGCTAGAAGTTGTCATCTACAAGCCCATCTACACACCAAGCATCTACCAAAAGGCAGACTTAGACCATCGTATGGATGGGAATCTCCAAGATTAGTTCACAACAGGAGATACCACTCCCTCGAGGTCCCAACATTGCATTCCACCACCATTCTGGGCCTGGCGTTTAGCTGTGCTGTAGGACAGCCCAGGATTCATTCATACTACCCAAAAGCACATTTCTCTTGTCAGATATGCAATATATCCCATTTGGAACTGCATGCAAAGCATCTGCAGCTCCAAAGCCACGGGTTGAACTGTAAGGTGCTATAGCAGATGAGGTCTCTTCTTTCTCATCCAAGAGATTCCTGGGTTCTAGCTATGCTGCTCACATTACATTTATTTACTTGCTCTATCTCCATAGCAGTCCTCCCCACAATGCCTGAGCACAACGTGAGCTGGATGGTTTCATTCTGTGCACTCCGAAGAGCATCGCATGTGAATTTGATTCCCAGCCTAACAGCTAATTCATTTCTTACCAGGCGGTGTGATAGAAGCCTTCCCGCTCGCAGAAAGCGTCACAAACCTTACGGTGGATGTGCTGATAGAGCCAACAGGCCAGATCAGAATCGTGTCAGCTGGAGACCAGCTCCACGCCGACGGGCCTCTGCGGTCGTCTGGCACCACCATTCCACAGCGCTCTGTGGATCCGGCGGTCCTCAGTTCCCTCTGCTTGAAAATCGGAGAGACCTGCAGATCTAAAGGAGTGCTCGGTTACTTCTCAGTCGACTTCGTGACTTTCATCCATCCCCAAACGATGGAGCAGCAGGTGAGTGGCGCCGATACGCGACTTCACGCTGAGATCAAGACATGTCTGCTTCCCTACTTTACTCCAAAAGGTATCAGGAGAAAGCTTTGCCCTTTTGAACAGACTTTATTTCTAAGCAGTGAGGGGTGTGGAGGGAGGTAGAGCACGTGGTTATTCCAACAGCAGCGTAAAATTTAGACCTGATCTGCCAGGTGGACCTGAGGAACCTTTTTGATCAGCCTGAAGAGTAACAAACCAACAAAGCCTGTAGGGCTTTCTTCAAGTGAGGGATAAGAAAATAATTTTCATTTCTTCTAATAAATTTTTTCCTCTAAAATAAATGCATTCTGCGTTAAGCCGGTCATTGCAGATGATAATCAAAAATACCAATATCTAAATGCAGAGCGAGGTCAATGTGTGGCACATGGCAGTGTGTATGATCACAGAGATCACTGCAGGGTTGATCTCTCTGCATCGCTTCCCAGATGTAGGGGCCTGGGAGCAACAAATGCGGGGCATTGACATCATCTCACCTGAGGGGCAGGAACTTCCTAAACTGTTCAGCTATCGCATGAACTGTTTATCTCTAGCAGATCTGAAATGCGTTATGAAATTCAGCTTTACGGTAGTGTCTGACACTACATCGTACTTCCTCCAGTCCTGAAACCATCGTATGGTGGGCACGTGAACTGCAGGCATAGGTTGCACTAATGTGGGAAGAGAGGGGTGGCTTTTTGGGGAGTCTAGACTGAAGGATACAGCATTTTAAATGATGATATTCCAAGGTCAACACCTCGAATAACCTAGAAAGGAAAATGCTGTGAGGAAGCAGTGTGGTTTTGGAGTGCTGGAGCACTTAGAGCAGGCGTGACTGAGCACAACGGAAGGGTCTAAATTAATGTTTTCTCATGGAAGCCTGCCCAGGAGCATCTTGTGTAGATGAGTGATGGGGGTCTTTTTCAAAGGTAAAATCACACCCCCTCAAGTGACCCTAAGTCCCCTGCCAGTTTACAAGTCCATCAGCAAAACCTCACAGTCAGCTGGATCACAACTTTTGACAACATAAAAAGTAATGTAATTAATAAATCAAGGCAGCAGAAGGGTGGTGACTCCGAAATCTGCCGCTGCCTGCGATGGATGGCAGGGAGGTAGATAATGCAGAGCTGAACTTGCAGACCTTATAAGTGAAGTATTGTCCCAGCACACGCTGCTTTTAGTGCCCAGGAGCAAACAGGTGAGAGAAAGGATTTAAAGAAGCATTTTAATCCCTGGCAGTGTTGATGATCAGCCTTGATCGTGGTGTGTAACAAAATATTGATCCTGCGTGTTTCTACGCTAGAGAAATCTGGCATTTGTTTGGTTTATAAGGTCAGGTTTCTTTGTCACAGCGTAATCCACTAAATCCTTTCATCAGTCAGATGCTGTGAAAACCCAACAAAGATGGTGTGGCTGCGCGCGCTCGGATCCATTTGGGTGTCTGCTTCTCCTCGGCGTCTGAAAATCACAGCTTGTATGGTGTGAGAAAAGGCTTTAAACACAGGGCTGGTATTTAAAACCAAAGAGTTAGCATATGGTATCTCTTGGCAAAAGCTGGCTCTTTGGCAGTGCTATGATAATTATATTCCACTTTTAAGCTCAGAAAAGGCTTAAAATCAGGCTTTTGGTAACTGATACCACTGTAGGGGGACTGTGGTAAACCCAGGAATTGGAATAGCGTTGGCTTTGAAGTACAGATCCCAGTTAGGTTTGACTCCCAAAATGCATTTACACAGGCGTTGTAACTAGAACTGCGGATAAGCCATACTGGACAACCTCCATGTGAAGTTGCTTTAAAGAGATGAAGGGATGGCTTTTCTGGCCCACTGAAGTCAATGGGAGTTTAGCCAATGGCTTCACTCAAGCCAGGCGTTCCCCGAAACGCAGATTATTAAGGCTGGGATGTTTCCTGGCACCAACGAGGACGTGTGAAATCAGTCAGTGTTTCCTGGGGCCTCTTACTACTCCTGTCTGTTCTCTCTTGCTTTTCTTCCCCCATTGCCAATTGACGCTATCTTAATATTTCCTACGTTTGTCAGCATGCACCACAACTCTAACATTATTTAAGCACAGGTTTTAAAATGTAACTAGATGTAGAGGCAATTAATGATGCCATCTGTCTTGTGAGAGAGAGATTACACAAAAGATTGTGCTCCTGAAAGCACTATTTTTTTGGGCAAACAAGAAATCCTATTAGACTCCCACAACATTTGCTCACTCATTTCAGAAGTGCCCACTTCAGTGCAGTAGCTGAAAGGCTCAGATAAGTTTCCTGGAAATACAGTATGCTTAAGCAGTCTTTCAGAGTTGGATTTTCCAGAAAATATCAACCAATACATGATATTTCCAGTCAAACTAAAAATTAAATGTATCATTGAACATCTGTTACCAATGCAGTCTGAGTATTTAAATACGTAAAAATCCCTGAAACGTTCATAGTTACACACTACATAAACACAACTCTTTAGGAAATGTGAGGGGCCAAATAAGTGAAAACGTATTTCTCTGTTTTTCCAAGACTGATCTTTAAGAGCAAGGCCTTGACCCTTCGATGGGAAGTTTTGCACAGTATTGACCAATTGCTGCTCGGATCCCACCTGGTCAAGGAGCTGCACCTTAAGTCCATTTAATTCAGTGGGACTGCTTGAATGCATGAACTTATTTACATCTGTAGATCTGTGGATAACTTGGAGAAGCAGGGTCATAAATCACCTTTGTCATCACTCTGATAGCTTACACTGTACATCTTGCAGCAGCAGTGAGAGGATGCTGGGTTAAATTGTTCATTTTGGGAAAAGATGAGGCAGAACACAGGGAAAGGAGAATTACAGAGCTGGGAGGGTTGTGGTGGGTGGGTATTCTCCCTCCATTCCAGTCTGGTGGCTTAAAAAGCCCCAGAGGAGGAGGGCTCCAGAGCTGCCAGGTGGTGTTGGCCACACAGGGGGGTCTGGGGTGGGGAAGAGCAGAGTCCAGATGTCTCTGAAGCCATCGGCCAGCTCCGGTGTCGCCATTAGGGGACCACGATGGTACCATTGGTGCTTTCCCTGGGATGCATCTTCTGTATTCACATACACGTCTTAAGATTTCTCCCCACAGAATGGAGCATTTTGTATGTTATTTTCAAACGAGAACCGCAGTGTTTTCAGAATGGAGCATTTTGTATGTTATTTTCAAACAAGAACCGCATTGTTTTTATTAACCATCTTCCAGTCTTCTGCTCAGCAGGACAGACGTTAGGGCCAGCTCTAGGGTCCTAAAACCGCAGTTTTGGGGCCAGCACCAGCCCATGCCAGCAGCTGCCACGAGGTGGCAGCCGGGTAAGATCCTGTCTGTGCTCGCTGCCGGATCAGGTCCATTGCGAATTTTAACTCATCAGATAAGCTCCCCTGCCTTAATATTTTACTAATGGATGCTTTAACAGTGTCATGCAACCACTTTTAAGTTTTTACAGTAATGCAAACATCAGTACTAGATGCAGATAAAAGAGTTAAACTGGAGAGAGAAAAGCTATAATTTAGTAACTCTTTAAGAATTTATGGTTCCTTCCCTTCTCAAGTTTCCTTTTTAAAGCTGGAGCCGTTTGATGGCAGCTGTAAAGAATTACGCTCTAATTGTGACTTTATTCGCCTGAGATGTCTTTGCCATGAAGCGCAGGCTCTTGAGCTGTGTCTGCTGAAGGAACTTGGCAGTTTGTGTAAAAGGAGCAATTCCAGATTTCATCGTGTTGCCTTGGACAAACAGCCAGTAAGTCCTGCAGGATGTATTTCCAACTATGTTTTAATTTCCTAGTGGTAAGAAAGTCCTAATCTATGCTTTGCTTAATCTAAAACCACTCTTAAAACCATCGACAAGCTTAACTACTGCCTCTACTTTTTAAAAAAATCATAATAAAACCCGAGATCTGATAATCTTTGCCCTTTCACTTGTTTGAAAATTCAGTATCAGTTTTAGACTTCAAGTGAGCTCTGTTCTGGTTTCATTTCTGAACGCAGAAGTGTCCTGCAAGTCCCCAGATCTCAAGTTAAAGCTCCTTACATTGTGCTGATTTGCCATACAATCCTATCAGGATGCAATACCTATGATCATAAATACCTACGATTGCATACATGCCCTTGTTGTCTATCCTCAGAAAAGGAGGATGGACTCAAGTGACAGGTATTTGTGAATCTGTATGATTGTATCATTCTTTACGTGAACTTGACCTTTGCACAGGCCTGCATTTGAATTAATAAAATGGGAAAAACTGATCCATGAGATGAAGTCGGACCCATTGCCCAGGCCCCGTGTCTTTCCTGTGTCTGTAGCAGTACAAAGGGGCAGTTCAGGATTTCCATGGCCAGAAGGAATCCCCTGCTAGGATAAAGCTGAACCTTACACCAGCTGATCCTTCCTTTCTCCCCACATCCGGGATGTTCTGGGACACATCCAGGACAGAAAAGGACAACACAGCAACTAGTTGAATAATCAGAAACTCCCTGAGCTAGAATTTGCTCAGTCTTGTGATTTCCAGCATGAAACTTGTCCTGCTAAAAGGTTTTTCTGGAGCCATCCCCTGCAGTGGGGATCCAGGAGAGCAGCGACTGGGATGGTGCCAGCAGAGCCAGCTTGGCACACTGGGCTTTAGTGCAGGTGATGGGAAATGTCTCACACAAGGAATTAATGGGTCTCTCCTCTACATCTGAAGTGAAAACAATGTCACTTGCACGTACTTTAATTGTAGTTACTGACAACATGGGATTTGTTGAGTAAGACTGGCAAAAAAACGTATGTGCCATTCCCTGCTTGGTACGGTTTGTCTGAATCTCTACCAGGGTGTAATGAATTTGTCTTGTGCTGATAGGAATGGCCAATTTTGTTTGCCAGACTGTATTTTTAATGCTTTATTTGCTGTTAAATGCTCAGCCCATTCTCTACACGTTGCCAGAACACAGCCCTTGCACTTACAAAGTGACATCTTTGCTTAATTTCTCTGGTTTTTTTCTCTCATCTAAGTCCTTGGATAGCCAGGATTTTCAGTAGTCCTTGGTCCCCTCATGTAGCCCTGCCACCTTTCTGGGGACAAAGCTTTAACTGAGAATCTAAAATCTACCCTAAATAATGTTCAAGACATCGGCTGTTACTGATTTGTTGGTAATATTTATGGAAACAAACGTAATGCTCCTCCAGTACGCATAGTTTGTAATTGTTATTCAGCTCATTGAAAAGGTTAGCACACTTGAAAAGTACAAATCGATGTGAAAGTTCCTTCCTGTCTTGCAGAAGTAATGATAAAGAATAAATTATTGAAGAAAATTAAGGATTATAATTGGGGAATATTCCCCTATTACTAAGTAAAGCCAGCCATTAGCATCCAATTTGCATTTTATACCATGCAGCAGGAAATATTTAAGTTGACAAATAGGATATTTAATACAGCAACAGATACGTGGCAGTTAGATATTAACAACTGTTACTGATGTGATTTATGCACCATTATAAAAAGGGCATTACTATGTGCATATGATTCAGAAATTAACTCCAGTTTACCAAGAGGCCTTGACTGCCTGACCTCTTAATATCCTTATAATGACGCCATTTACCATTCAAAGGCTTAGTCGAGTCATTCATGGCGAGGTTTGTTTTAGAGGGGTCCACTGCAGGGCAGATATTTGTGCACCTTAACATTTCTCATTGGCGTAGCAGGCACAAGCATTTTTTAAGTGGGAATAACTCATGGGTGAAACCTCGCTCAGGTAATTGGGGACAGAGGAACCTTGCAGAAGCCATCCCTGGTCCTTCCTCCTGCTGCACCCTTGGCATGGACTGGCTTCACAAATCCTGCTCAACTTCTGCGGGCTTTAATGCTTTGAAATCTTCTTGAGGTTTGTATGAGGCTTTTAGCATTGCCACCAAGATGTCCTGCACGTGGGGTGGGCTTCCCTTACTCCTGCTGTGGGACACGTTCCTCTGGCAGCAATAAGCTCTTATGGTCTCGTTTCTTGTGTTTTATGTGAGTATAAATCTGAATTAGCACCACAAAACAGCAGTGGGAGTGGAAGGAGAAACAGGTTAAAGTATCTGCTGTTTGATAAGGTCGCATATTGCAACGGGAAGGGGCTCAGCTCAACCCCTGCAATGAACGATGCGTATACTTACACATGGATTTCATGCTCTCCTCCTCCTTGACTCAGTTTAGCTTTGCCTTCTGGAACTTCAATTTTTCTCTCTTATGGTCTCGTTTCTTGTGTTTTATGTGAGTATAAATCTGAATTAGCACCACAAAACAGCAGTGGGAGTGGAAGGAGAAACAGGTTAAAGTATCTGCTGTTTGATAAGGTCGCATATTGCAACGGGAAGGGGCTCAGCTCAACCCCTGCAATGAACGATGCGTATACTTACACATGGATTTCATGCTCTCCTCCTCCTCCTTTACTCAGTTTAGCTTTGCCTTCTGGAACTTCCATTTTTCTCTCTCAAAATACTGATTTGTAACTCAAGGCTGACTTTATTTAACCTTAATTATTCTTCAGTGGAAAAATCCAGGTGCAATATTCAGTATTTAGCTAATTACCTATTTAATGCGATACGGCCTTTACAGCTGTCAGCTCATCTAGCTACTTTTTCCAATTGTTGCTAAAATCTTGGTAGCACAGGTAGCGGTTTTCTCCTTAGGCTTTTGGTTTTTGTGTATTTTTTTGGAATTTATGTAAGAATTCTGGGTTTTTATTGTCTGGAAGTGGTTTATTGCTGTCAGTGATGCATCAGCACAAGGAAACCATAAGTAGGTGTAGCAACATGTGTGAAAATAAAGGCATAGATGTTCCTTTATGTGACTGCTGAGTAGCATTCTTGGTTTTGGAGTTTGTGGGTTGTTTGGGGGTTTAATTTTAATTCTAATGCACCTGTTTGTGTTTTGATTAGGTGTGGGCAACAGACCTTGATCTCTGCTACAGTGACCAGCTGGCCATGACTCAGCTCATGTTGTACGTGACAGATGGAAAGCTGGATTGTGGCTCCAGCTGCTTTGAAGTGTCTCTTGCTTCAGAGAAAATGAAAAGTCAACGTATTCAGCATGAGGAGACAAGAACAGTAAGCAGCAATTTGTTTACAAACAAAATTATTAATGTAAATTACCAAAAGTTAAAATCTGTCCTAGATCAGTGTCCTAGAGGAGCCGAATCTGCTCCTTTTGGATTTTAAACTGCTACTTTACAAGGTTAAAGTAAACAAGACACCATCTTGTTAGAAATTAGAGGAAAGGTTCTAGATGGTTATGGATACCTGATTATCACAGAATCACAGAATGTGAGGAGTTGAAGGGCCCTGGAAAGCTCCCCCAGTGCAACCCCTGCCAGAGCAGGATCACCAGAGCAGTCCCACAGGAACACGGCCAGGGCTTTGGGTGTCTCCACACAAGGAGACTCCACAGCCTCTCTGGGCAGCCTGGGCCATGCTCCATAACCCTCACACTCACAAAGTTTGTCCTCATCTTCAGCTTGAACCTCCTGTGCTCCAGCTTGGGACCATTGCCCCTTGTCCTGGCATTGGACATCCCGGAGCAGAGCCTGGCTCCTTCCTCCTGACAGTAACATTGATTTGTGGTAGTAACTACCTTCTACATATTTCAGGTAGTTTTCAAGTTGTAAAATGTGGTAATTTATTTGTTGCAAGCAAAAGGAAGGAGAAGAAAGCGCTGCCCTGACTATAGGAGTAACTTAAGAAGAAATCTGAGCCTTTAGCTCATGAGCTCTGATGTGGGATCAGAAGTCAGAGCACTGAGGCTCTACCCCAGTGCTCTCATGCACAAAACTGGGGGTAAAACAATCAGGGCTGCATCTGCAGAAGGATCTGGACACCCAAATCCCTCCCAGCTCTCACTTGAGTTAAACCCAAATGTTGGTTCTCAGAACTGTCATTCAGTTCTGCACCCATCTAACTATTCAGTATTAATTATGGACACAGTCATGTGAACAGGAAGAAAAACTCCCAGCACCCTAACAGAGGCGAGTTCCCCAAGCACGGATACGCAGTCGTACTCCCTTCTCCTTTCCCTCTCTGGACCAAAGCTACAAAGCCCAAGGGTTGAAGCACCCATTTGCAACACCGAGCAAGAGCTGAGCCATGAGTACCCCCCTCAATCCATCCCTCTTCTATTGCCAGGTCAGGTCCAGCCACGCTCGGTGCCACACGCTGTGAACTCAGGTGTGCTCAGCTCCACGGGTGTTGTGCACAAAGCCGAGGTGCTCAGCACTGTAGGTTTAGGTACTGAAATGACGAGTGCTGGGGTGCTTCATGCTTGTGGATCTCGCCTTTAATCTCTGAAAACTTCTAAGATTGGGTCTGTAACAGTGCCTCCCAGGGGTATGATTTAAATGAGATGGTGTTCGTGTATTGCTTTGAAACCCTTATCAACAGTGTCACAGAGGCACGGTTAACAGATGACTGACTTACTCTGACTTGTTATGTTAGATCAGTCTTGGTGCAGCACTCGAAACGGCTCTGAACCTTGAGCCTGTCCCTCTAAAAAGGAAAGAAAGGCCTTTAGAAAAGTCAGAGAATAGGAAATATATCAATATATACACATATAGGTATAAAACAGATGCTGTTTTATACGTTTTGACAAAGAGGCACAACTCCCTTTTTTTCAGACAGAGGGGGAATGTAGCACCATTCCAAAAATGTCATGGAGCTGTAATTTAGAGGTTAATGAGCTCTTGATCTATTGTTCTTGTCAAGCAACCACTTTTAGTTGGAGAGAAGTAAATTAGATATGATTAGTCCCAGTAGTACAAGTTTTAGAAATGAAAAGTAATCAAGTAGCAACTTTTTTTTTAATTAAAATCCTGTCACGATTAACATAAATTGTCCCTATATTCTTTATTTTTCTTCTTTCTTCATTTCTGAGGGGTTTATCTCCTTAAGAGTTAACTACAAAAATGCGCTCTCTCAGGAAAATATCTTTAGAAAAAAGAAACAAACCGAGAGACAAATGCTTTTACAGCACACGATCTGTAATGAATGATTAAGTAAAACACTTTGTGTAAAATTATGATTTTAATAATGATTCTGTCCCTTTGAATTGATTATATATTCTCAGTCCTGGTAGGTTTGATTTTGATAAAACGGAGCAGCAACTGAGTTTGTGTGATGATTTTATTTTTAGAAATCCTTCTTTGAAAGAACAAATTTCCTAGATACTGCTGCTACTGTAATTATGTACAAAACCAATCACTCATTATAGTTAGGATACATTATCTTCTAGACAGATGAGGCTAAATAAGCAACACATTAATAATTCATACTGCAGTTCATTATGCATGTGTATGCATGCTTTGTAGCTGAAATAAGCACCTCATCAACCTGATGCCAACCCTTAAACAATAGTTCTGTGTTATTGCAGCCACATTCAAGTTTACGCTTGTTAAACTGCTACTTGGATTATTTTATCAAGCATTCATTTATTTGTGGTCCCCTACTGCAGAGAAACAGATTTTGGAAGCTCCTTTTTTAAGTTAATGACTTGAGCAATGGGTGTTATTAATTCTCAGAATATTATAAACATGATTAATTTTCAGGCAGAGATGTATTATGTAAGGATTTCAACTATGTCAACTTAAATGAGTCAATGTCAAAACAAATACCGGTTCGGAAAAACCACTGTAAATTACATGCTTCAATGTGCAGTATCCCCACTCTGAAGGAACAGTCCAGTATTAGAAATAACATCACAGGAAAGCCTTGGTTTGGGAAGACGTCTCTGTTCAGTTCTACTCAGTGCAACATCTCTGTTCTTTAACCTCAATTTGAGTTTAAACTCAAACGTGGTACTGACTTTCATCCACAGTATGAATTCCACTGCTATCAGCTTGGAGTCACTGGGCCTCATCTCCTCAAGGATTTGCTGGAAAAACTGCACACATTAATGCAGTAGCAGAATGCCCAGTGTTGGAGAAACCCACTTGAAACTGAGCTTTAGAGAATGTGTCTTAAAACTTTGATTTTCAGGCAAAAAACCTACTGATAACCTGCTTTGAAATGTCTGCTGTTGAAAAGAGCTGACTCAACAATGTACTTTTCCACAGCACGGGATGGACTCAGAGGATCCCAACCATAGTGGGAATGATTTCCCAGGGCTGAGTTACCAATGGAGCCATGAAAATATCGAAATGTGGCTCATAAAGAGGGATTCTGTAGCTCTGATCTATAATATTTTACGTACAGTGTGGGGTGAGGATTTAATTTTGCTGCATGGAAATGTCTATGCTCAGTAGACATTGTAATGAAGAGAAATTCCTCCAAATGAAGTCTTACTCCACACTTACCTGAGTTCACTGAGAAAAAGCCATTTAAATGTTAAATTGTTGGTTTCTGACATAAATAGTATGAAAATAAAGACTCCAATGTTGTTTTCTCAAGCCTTCTCCAAGAAGCAAGCGGTGTGCAGTAGCAAGCAGTCAACTGAGGCACTCCAGCCTTTCAATGATCTACTACAACGTCCTCCTCCAGATATGTAAAGCTCATGGTGTTGGATTTGACCTCCAGGTAGGAACGGGAAAGATTGGAAAAGGGGATATTCACTCTGCAAAATGTTTGTGTCTTATCCTAATGTGGTGAAACCACTTAGCACGATGAAAAGTTCAAGTGTTCTGTTTAGCATAATACAATGTTTTTAAAACACTGCAAGGTGTTGCTGTAGAGTTCTGTAGAAAAGGACTTCATGTGTATCAGAATTGATTTTCTTTGAAATTGTTTTCGTGATTCCAATTGATGAACCAGAGCAGGTCAAGCAAAGTTCCAGTCCAGTATATATCTAAGGTGAAGTATAAACTTTAAGAACAGGAAAACCTACACATATTTTCACTGCTTTTCAATTTAAGTGTAAGGCTTTTAGGGGTTAACATGTCTCTTGATAAAAATAACTGTGTAAGGAGATAATTTTTAAGTTACTTGTGACTTTCTCTTCCTACTTTGGAACAAAAATATTTGCTATTGAATAGACTCTGCCACATGTATTCTGTTTACATCAAGTTAATGTATTGCATTCTCTACAACAAGTTAGTTAGAACAATAATCTACTTACACTGAGCAATAATCCATTACACATAATTCAAAATGAGCCTTTCTTTATTACAATTAGCAGTAGGAATAATGAAAGCACCTTTGTCGTCTTATTTAACAGGAAAAGCAAGGAACAGTTTTTATATTGTATGAAGATCAGGAGCGATGCAGATTTGGAATGGTGTAAGTATCTGCTGTTAGATCAGTCTGATAAACAGCTGGGACCACACTCGATGTGAAGGGCAGACACCACAGAGGGTGCTGGTCTGGGCTCTGACAGAGGGCATGAAGGAAACGAACAACCTGACCACCACGCACTCCAGTTCTCTCTGCTGTTCAGAAACGTAACACCGGTCTTTTGAAAAGGTTTAGGGAGGTTTTTGGTAATAAAAGCATTTGGTGATCAAAAAAGTCCAGGAATGTGCTTAGATAAAAGCCTGACTGCACTGCAGACTGCAGACCCACTGCCATTAGCTGTACAGGAGCTAGATTCACCATCAACAGCAACCTGGCTGGGAGAGCACACGGATTAGCACAGGCTTGCTTTTACAGGCAACATTATTAAAACCTAACTCTACACGATGCAAAGAAGGTTGAAGTTTAATGCCTTCATATGTTGTTCTTCACAAAGTGATCAATGGCAGTGAGGCAACAGCAGATCTGATAGTTTAGGTTAATTCTTTAGACCTAAGAACCTCTCCTAAGAAGTCTACTAAAGCATCATCTGCACAAATCTACGATTCACTGACTGAAAACCTCTCTTTGCAAAGATTTTATGTAGTTTACTGCCAAAATAGGAAATAACGAGTGTGGGGCTAAACAAGCCTGTTCTCAGTCTGTTCTGTATTCATTTGATGCTGGAGCTATTTCATTAATGACCTGGATATGGTACATCTTCCTCGAATGCTGGATGTGGCTGCAAGTATTTTGGAGGGCAGGAACAGGATTCAGAATGATCTCGACAAATTGAAGAAACAACATGAAAAATAGAATTACATTCAGATGGAGCCAGGTGCAAGACATTGCACTTAGCAGTAATGAGTATGAGGAACAACCAGCTTTGCAGAAAAGAACCTGTGAGTTACAGTGGCTTACAAATCGCCTACAAGTCACAAGGTCATAAACTTATAGAAGCAGGTAAACAATATAACTGGGAGACATTGGAAATAATCCCTCCATTCTACTCAGAGGGAGGCAATGGAAATGTTTAGAGGTCTAGAAAGCATGACTTACAAGGGAAGACTAAAAGGGGGAAGGAGAAGGCAGAAGTGAGATCTGCTAACAATCTTCAAATGCATAAAAAGCCTCTGTGGGAAGGACAAATTTGATTTCCAGGTCTTTGTTAGTAGGACAAGAAGAATTCCACTTGCAGCAAGAAAGATTCATGTTTAGCATAAGAAAAATTCCTGATGGTAAGGGAAGTGAAGAACTAATTAGATTGTTTGGAACGGCTGTCATTGACTGTTTAATAACAGCTTAGACAAACCTCTGTCAGGATGATCTAAGTAGCATTGATCCTGCCCTAGCGCCGGGAATGGACTAAATGAATCCTAAAGATTGGTTCCAGGGCTGTGATTCTCTCAGCCTGCACTGAGCTCCTCCTGGATGAGGCTGCTGGTAGCACGCAAGTGAGTCACGTCTGTTCAAAGCTTCGATGTCCCTACACTAAACTGCACTCACGATGGAGGCAGCTTACATGAGTGAGCTGTGAGAGGAATTTGAACAAAAATTACAAAACAAGAGCTTGTAAAGTATCAACAGGAGCTATTTAGAAAGTGATTTAAGCATCTGCAAGTGTTGCAGAAGCCACTGAACTCTCCTAACAGTCCCACTGATGCTCTTTCCTTCCCTGACCCCAGCTATGAAGTCCCCTTCTGCCTCATCTCTGGTACTTCTGCACCTCTCCAGGAGCTGATGCAGCTCAACCACTCAGCAGAAAGCTTTCTTTTTTTGGATTACTCTTATGTGGAGCTAAGATGGACTGAGTCAGTAACTCAGGTACACTCTTCCTCAGAGTAATATCCTGTTCCATAAGATCGTCCGTGTTGAGAGTCTGTAGGTACCACTGAGAAACCGAAGCCTCAAAAACTACAACTAAAAAATGCCAATAGTGCTGAAATGTCTTTTTCAGATGCCTTTCCCAAACTGTAGGCAGAAGCAAGAGTTCTTCTGAGCAATCCAGGTGTTTAAAGTGTTCTCCTGTCTCAGTCCTAACTCAGTGGTTGCCTTTTATTTGGAGTAGCTGAATCCTCACTGCTTACTTCTGCTAAGTTGATTAATAAAAATTATTTATTACACAAATCCTTTCTGTTGACAAGTTAAAATGGAGCCTCATCTTTCATATCTCCCTGAAGATTGCCACCTTGTGAGATTGAAAATACTCATTAAATTCCATCACCAGACAGGCACAAATGAGAGGGCGATTGTTTTTAAGCATGTGAAGGGAATCATTGGTAAACTCATTTGTTTGGATATCATTAACAGAACAATCGGAGAGGATCTCCAGGGGGTCCTCATGACCTTTGCTCGCAATCTCTTCATCATCCATCAAGAAATATCAGCACCTAATATGCAAGGCGAGACCAATTTTAAGGTGAGGTGTTAATTAACTAACGATCCCGGTTAATTTCTGCACAAGGGCTGGAAATACCTCATGCTGTATCATAAACAAGTGCTAAACCATTCCTTTTTTATTGTTGGCGGTATGTATTTTACAGTGTCTAGGTCAATATAGTAAGTCTCCCAATGAACCTGTTAGTTAAATTTAAGTTTGAAACTTTTTTCTTTGAAAAGAGACATACTTCAGTGTGAAATAATTTGTAATGTAATGCTCCTGATTGTCCTTTGTAAGAGCAAAGGAGCTGTTGGCACCGCCTCAGACAGTTCTGTCACAATCGCCTGGTTTATTTTAAAGGGACACCATCAAGGTAGAAATCTTAAATTAGAAACAAACTTCTTGGTTTATAATAGAATAGCTCTGTAGATGACTAACACTGATTTCTTTCAAGCAGGCAGCCACTGAGTACTTAATCCATCAGTTCACATCTTTCACAAGTCAATTTTGTTCCCAATTTTCTCTGCTCTTTGAAGCTCTGGCAGTGCCCATCCCTGGCTGCTGGAGGATGCTCTGGGGCGGTGCGGGGGGCGGCAGCACAAAGCACAGGGGCTCCTCACACGGGGGATGTTCCCCCAGCAGCGCCCACCTTTGCTCGGGAGCTGCTTTGTGCCGACCTTGCTGGCAGAAGGAGACAGGAAAGCAATAATGAATCCAACCCCGTGCCCTGAAACAAGCACTCATTACAATGCTGCGTTTTGATGCCAGAGAATAGCTAAAATTCCCAAAGGGAGGTTTTTTTTTGGTTAAACTGCATCACCTTTAACTTGATAAAAAGTTTCTAAGATCCTCCCTGTAAGTGTTTTGTAGAAAGGTGAAGGGGAGCACGGTGTTACAGACTTGTATCTTAAATCACGTAACATAATTTATAACGGAGTCTTTCCAGTGTTAACTCTGACTATATTTTCCTCTGACCAGCAGTGTGTGAAATGACAGTTTTAGAGAAGATACAATTAAATTTCAACATATTATAGAATAAACAAACAACCCCCCTCCCTTTTCAATATGAGAGAGATGCAAAGCAACCATTGAAGAAAAATAGAGAAGGGAACTCTTCTTCATAGTGAGTTAACAATGATTTACATATGTGAAACAGAACACCTGTTAGTTAATTAGAAGTACAAATTGCAACAAATTGTATTTTTTATTTACCTGAGGATTGTACATATTTACCAATAATTCCCCCAACTGTCCCCAAAGTCATAGTAAATTTAATTGGTGCATCAAGTCCTGTGTAACACTGGTTACCTTTTCAAGGCAAGTACTACCAGCTGTGCGTTTTGGCTGCTAGATTTCATTATAATGCCCATTAAATAACTTGTATTCCTTGAATCTGTTACAGATGGCAATTCAAGATATTGAAGCAATTCTAGGAATTACAGCAGAAAACAAACTGAAACTGGAAGAAAAGCAACCTTCGAAAGCAGATGCTCTGAAAGAATAGTTAACGGAAAATGTTTAAGTGCCTTATTCTTTATGCTTCTGGGAATGCTTTCTCATCTGTAAGAACAGGTTTGGTTTTCCTTCTGCAGTGGCACGTGAAGTAACATTAACCGAGACAGTAACTTTCCGTGGTTTCTGAGTGAGGTGGTTAGAATATCCCTTCTTTCACAAAAATAAACTGAGGAAAAGCAGATGATCCTGTTAAATGCCCCTGATGTTCATACTGTCCTTCCTGAAGTTTTAAAAATCTTCTTATTAATGGGGTTCAGGCTGTCTTTGTCACTAAATCAGACTAGATCATACTCTGTTGAAAAGAGTCCTTGATCCTGAATTCCCTTTCAAACGCACTGTCTTCCAAAATACAGGCTTCTGACATGAAAGCAGGTCCAGTGTTCTTCTGTCTATAAATAAATACTTAAATACCATCTTATCAGTGAGGCCAGCAACCCAGATTCCTCTTGCCCATATTGTTATCATACCACTATTTCTTTTGTTATCTACAGGTTTTACAGAATCTCTAATCTCATCTCAACACACAACACATTCCAAATTTTACTACAGAAGAGCTCGTCTTCTTTATTGGATGGGTACTATTGTCCCAGGCATGGCTTTGGGACACCTCTGAGCTTCCTTCCCAAAAAACTCAGGCAAAACCAGTTTTTAAGACAAATAAGGAATGTGAGCAAGCAGTTGCAGCAGATCAGTGCCCAGTTTTTCTGATGCCCAAGTCTTTGACCCATTAGCTTTAAACATTATCTTGTGTTAGCCTTTTTCTCTTCTACTTTGGTCACAGAAGTAATTCATCACAGATAAGAATGATTGCATAAATGCTGATCCCCATTTTAAATAAAGACCTAAAAGAATATTTTTGTTTAATTCTTGATTGGTTTTGTTCCTTTCTTACAAGTAATCTCAATATGGTCCTGGTTTTGGATGTAGCAGAGCCCACACAGGTTTTTCTAATGTGAAATTTAGCCGTGTGAAATTGGAAGTCTTCATGGTTAGAAATGAAAGTAACGGAGGTATTTTTGGCTGTGGTAGGTACAATGATCTCTCACTTGCCAAGAAATAATATGCCAAAGAGCACAGTATAATTGCTTATCAGTTCTTTCAACAAGATGAGATATATTAGTTCTCTATTCTAGGGACTGCAGGAACAGTGTGTCATCCTGACTTTTCCCTCACCACGTTTATAATCCCCTCTCTCCTGTTTTACTGCTAAGAAGCTCTCTGTGATTTCTCACCTAGCTTCATACCCAAGCTATACAATGTCCCAGTTTGGTCCATAGAAGCAATACCCTGAGGGAAAAGGAGGCGTAGGAGCATGGCACTATCAACCTAGAAGTCAGCCAGTTTCTTAAGGGTTAAGGAAAATTAAGCCTTGATCCAAGCCAGCGCAACATAAGGTCTGAGAGGCTCATTAGTTCACTGGCACTTAATAGACTGCCGTGTCCTAGGAGTAAATGAAACCTGCACTTCCTTATGTCTTTGTTCTGTTCTGACAAAAGAAAACTGTACCTGTTTTTGCAGGGAACAAGTGATCTGAAAGTTCCCGTGGTGAGAGAGACTTCTCAGTATGTGCAAAGTGTGAAATGTATTTTGAGGAAAAAAAGTTTTTAATTACTATTAACACTTCTGAGCGCTGAGCTGATGGAAGGATTGAAAGTGCTTTAGTCTCTCACATCTGACTCCCATGCTGCTGGTGCCAAAAATGTATTTTTTTAACAATACAGCAGATAGAAAATGAAATTATAATCTTTTTTGAAAAATCAGAAATAAAATCATAATAGATTTATTGAACTGCAGCCTGAATTTTAGCACTATTCAGGACATGATCTAGACTGGGAAGAAAACAGAGCAAGTGGGACTCGTCCAGAGATAAAAGGTGGCCCAGGTGTGGCTGCTCATCAGAAACTGCCAAAAAACTGTGCAGCTAAGGACAGCAAAATGCCAAGCTGGGTCCACAGCTGCAAGGTGTGGAGGAATGCGTGTGGAAGGAGACATGGGCAGTGGGGTTTGGCATCAACTGCAGAAGGTACAGTCAATTAAAAGAAAGGTTTTGTCCTCCTGATGGGCCAGAGCTGCTAATGAAGCTGTGCATGCAGTGACAGCACTTTGTGGATCTTGGTTTTTGCAAGAATTGATATGCTGGCTGTAACACAAATGCTACTCATTTCCTTGACAGCCTTTATGAATGTAATTTGATAGATCATCTCTACTGAAGGACGGTTAGACTGGGTTTTAGCTTTCAGGAGACTGTTTTGCTGTAAAAATGATCACGCTATACCAGAATCCAATGAACAGAGAGACTTGAATTGTGCAATCAAACATTATCAACTGAAGACATTTGGACAAATGTTTCATAATGCTTCCAGCCTCGCCATTAGGATGTTTGGTCATGAATCTGGCATATTTTGGATTATTTTGCTATGCATTTGTAAATACAGATGCTACTTCACCCCACTGATAGTACAAGTTATGCAAGTAGAGGTGTATCTATGTTCTCTTAACCAGTGGGCGGTCACGCTGCCAAAGGCCGGAGACTTTTCCCCTTCTTCCTGCACTTTTAATAAGAGCAACACAAAATTAACTGCAAAATATCTTAAGTACTTTTAAAAATCAAATTGTTGTATGTCCACTTTATAGGCAATATATACTTACTTTTGACCATGAAATAAGAGCAGAGTGTCACTCTCGAGGTGTCACACATTAGTTCAGTCCATCACCATAGTGAGCCACAGTATCAGATTCCAACTTCTTTTCTATCCTCAGTTATTGTTGTCACTAATAAATAAAGATATGAAAGCTAACTATATGCTCTATTAATTATAGGAAGGTGAACTTGAAATTTGTTACTGACGATGATTAATAATTACTGGTTCTAAACACATTGTAGTACATTACAGTAAATAAAGAGGGTACATTGCTGGGTAGCAATTGATTAATTAGCACATTTATACTACATAGCTCAATGGTTTAAGATTGCTGAGTTGGAGATACTGCCTGCAATTATTAAAAGGAACAATCTGTTCCCATTTCTCAGTTTACTCTTCTGTAAAGTCTTTTTTTCCTCAAACAGAATGTTCAGTGGTTCAAAACCTTAGCTTTTATTTAGAAAAATCATACCATGGAATATTGGTTATGATTTTAAAATACTTATATTGAAAGGGTTCTAACGCTTTCAAAGAACTATTTTAACCTGGCATCGCTGTCCAATTTCACTAAGTAAAATCAATGTCGTGTATCTATAGTGCAGCTTAACACAATTTTTCCCGAGCGTGCATTAACCTGGCAGATGCTGCAGCTGTGAGATGTGTCCAAAATACAGGGAGTGCTCCCCTCAGCACGTACATTGTAAACAAAACCATTTCTAAAAGTGTAATTATCCAATTCCTTGCGAGATTCTCGCTCGCTGTAACGAGCATTAACGTCCGCCCCTCAGCAGGGACTCCAGGCGCACCCATCGCTCCGTGTGGGGCACGATGACCCCACTCGCCCCGGCTGCCTCAGCCGGCGCCCGCC